ATCGTACTCGCCGTGGTCTATTTCCAACTTCACGACGCCATCTGCCAATAAAACGCCACATTTTAGGCCCACCAGACCAGCCGCATCAAATGCCTGGAGAATCGTCAAGGAATGGTTTGACACAGCAGATTGCACTCGTCGGTCTAGTGCATTCATCAGATTAGACGGAAGACGTTTGTGATCTTCTTTAATGTCGCTTTCTTCTCGCAGTTTCCACGTAAACCGACCTCCAGTGACTCGTTTTTCCTCGTCTTTTGTGACAAGCCAGTCTTACAATAGCTCCACTCCTTTGTACTTTCCACCAGGCTTCACCGTGTCTCCAGCTTTCTTTATGCGCTATATCACCATTGAGCAACTTCTGTTAGCTTTGCTTTAACCCTTGGTCACTAGAGTTTCAACTTCTATACAGGAGTGTCAAGCGACTGGACACGTAGCATTAGATCAAAAACAGGCCCCATGATATCCAAGCAGGCCAGCAAATCAGCAACAAAGTCTGATCTTGCAATCATGTACTGGAGCTCTTCCTTTTCATTTCGATTTGGATACAACGCTTCAAATGCTTTCCAGAGCGATCCATAGCTTTGCTCAATTTCACACCACTGTTCATAGGAGGAACTGGCAAATCGCTGACCTGCGCACGCTACCGGTCTTCGAGGTGTTTCACTGATCTACTAGCTGAAGGAAGGCTGGTATTGAAGACGTTGCATCTTTTCAGAAACGTTTGGAAGAAGATGCCACTGGGTGATTTCGAATCCTTGCTGTCAGACATCCCCAGATTCAAGATATGAGCAGCATCCCATGTCACTGGCAAGAACATCGTCAACAGTTACTGAATGTTCTTGTTCCTTTAATAGTTACCAAGGGAATACGCGAGGAAGATTTTCAGACAATTTTGATGAAATACAGCGTCCTTGAAGATACCATCCTTTCTATGGTAGAGACTGACTTGGATGCCGTGGAGCAATATAATTATCATGCGTGGGGATGATGACGAGGATGAAGCCGTTAAGGACCAACTTGCACAAAAAACGGGTCTTTTAGGAGACACAAAACGTAAAAGAAAGTCTTGATCAACTGAGTTTGCATTTTCTTAAACCCTTTATTTTAGGATGTGCGAGCGTTTTGGTCACTGGTCAGTACCTTGCCAGTTCTGGAAAATATAAGTACGGAATATCATACACTCAGGACAGCAAGTTCTAGTGTTTCTTCCAATCAAGGGCTAGCGAGCCGCGAGCGTTCACTGAAAATCAGCGAAAAGCAACAATCCACTGCCCACATTAAAAAAGAGTGGAAACACAGGGCGCGAGTAGGCGCGCGCTCAGTTATGGTATCGTTCAGGGACCCGCAAGAAGTTAAAAACAAATGCGTGTGCGCTGTGCGCGCGTGCCTTTCTTAGCCCCAGGTTTCCATTCTTCTGAAAGCGAACAAATTCGCCTTCGAACGCGCAGTTATTAGAACGTTTGCTTGCCAATGGTCGCTCGATACAAGTATTGTACTGTGACAGGCGTTCTGCAAAGATATTTGCACAACCGCCACAGGTCAATTAGAGGGTACGCCATGTATTGCCTTCATCATTCGCTTCAGTACGACGACATCTTGTCGATCGCACGCCGGTACGCCGCAAAATTTTAAAACCCACGCTGGAGATCTTCGGGGTAACCTAAACTAAATGCACCCTGGCAAAGCACATCGCCCTCGCTTTCTCTCCGCCATCTTGGCAATCTGTGACAACAGATTCCCACCAACTTTGTCTATGATAGTTTACGAGGGTTCATCAACAAGTTGTCATGGCTCTCCATATGACAGTCACAGAAAGAGAGGTTATACTTCTCTACACTTAAATGCTCAAAGTGTTTAGTGTTCTCCTGGGTTATAATTATAATATTATTATTAGTTTTTCCACTTCAACAGGTAGTTTGGTAGAGATCAGTCAGTCATTGGATGTAGCCTGCAATTACTATGGTTTTGCTTGACTACCCACTGTGACTGATTTAGAAAAAATATTGCCGCTCTATATATAGTCAATTGGAAGTAAAAGTTAAACCGATTGTTACAGGGCCACCCCTATTTTCACGCTCTTGTATTTTCTCTTAGCACTAGATGCTGGTCACTCTTAGGAGTGTGTTCAGTGAGGACAGTTTGCCTGAGCTTCTAACAGGTGATGAGGCCAAATAATGATGCACCCCCATTTATAAAATACTGAAGATAGTACACACACTCTCATTGGTCAATAGATAAGAGTATGTTAACACAATTGTGAGGTCACTTCTTCTGTTTGGAATTACTTTTGAGAAAAACTTATAAAAGCAAAAAAAAAAAACTTTTCTCCATATTTACATAGTCTCATCTAGAGATGATGGTGGTTTGGAGAATTCAAGAAGTTATGCTAACCCTAAAACACAGTCCAGGGGTGGG